TATATATATATATATATATATATATATATATATATATAATCGTTGCTTTTAATAAAATAGACAAAATCTATGGTCACTAAGATCGCTATCTAAAAGTTGAACCAAATCTTGAACATGTCGCGAACATACAATTATTTCCCTTTACAATAATAAAAAGAATTAAAGTAGCTAGAAGTGGTAATGATTATAAAGTATTCTCTAAAGGTATATTTTTCTCGCATTATATGAAAAGCGTATATGTGTTTTATATCATTAAGATTACAACGTATGACCTGTGTAATACATACATACATATATACACAACAACGCTTCATGAAAAGTTGACAAAATTTTGCTAACAACTATTAAGCCTTAGTTCAGTGCACGGTTTCGAATAAGAAGTCTTAAAGACCGTTCCTTTTAAAGGCGAATCTATATGTTACAACCACTAAAGTATTTATTGCAATTTTTTTACTAACCTTAACGGTGCTGCTACGTTGATTTGTTTTTTTGCTACCACTAGTTATCATCGCCGAAAAATTGAGAGACTATAGTATCAGATCGAAGTTTAAATATGAGTTCTTATTGTTAATAGTGGTGGAACACAAAAATCCTAACTGTAAAAAATTGAACTTGAACTGATTTATTAGTGTGTTTTTTTCGAATTATGATTTATTAGTATTCTGTAACTATAATTAAATTAATTTATTTTAAATTATTGTAATTATTTTGTGCTACCACTGTAAAAAAAGATTCTGAATCCGCATATTATCAATTTAAAAACCAAAATGGTAGGTTTCAATAGACAATGCAAAATTAGGGATGGCAAAAAAAAAACCCGAAATCGATGGTGAAAACCAAAAACCGAAACTTTAGGTCCGGGTTCGGGGACGGGACGGGGCGGGGATCGGGGACAAATTCGGGGATTTTAACGAGGACGGAGACGGGGGCGGGGACGGTGATCACCGGCCCTGCCCGATATGTATATATATTAATTTTAAATTATATATATATATATATATATATCATTAATAAGAAATAATAACATTAAAATTTAAAAGACTTTTATCCACTTTACCTCAACAACCCAAATAAAGCTCACGAAAAAGTCTAGTTTATTTGTCTAAAATCGTGATTTTAGTTGTATAATGTTTGAATTTATGTTTAGTTTTATATTGTAATCTAATATATTGTTTGTAATTGGTTCGATTATGTTTGAGACATTTAAACTTACATATTTAAAAAAATTGTAGTTTTCTTTTAGTTGTGAAAATTAGTATATTGTAATTTTTTTTAGATCGGTTTCGGTTTCGGGCTCAGTTATAACCAACGGTGAAAAAAAATGATTTTTACCCTTAACTAACGGGTTCCCCAACGGGGATCGGGGACCCGATGGAGATCCCCGACTGGGATCGATGACGGTTTTAGCTATCGGTTTCGAGAACGGGGATACCAATACCCGGCCCCTTGCCATTCCTATGCAAAATCACATATGCTCGTTGTGAAATGGACACACATTAAGTTTGATCGACACCAGATTTTAAAAACATCCCCTCTCTTGTTATATATTTGTCCTCTCATCATGCCATCTTAACTCAATGATCTGTTGGTGTAACTTTTCTAGATTTTTATCTGAAACAACTTCTATTATCAATATCAGTATCGAGATCAAGATTATAGATACATTAATATACTCTGTATTTAAAAAAACGAGAGAGAATGTGTACATTTTTGGCAAATGGGTAATGGTAGATTTGTTAGAATATGCACCAAACTTTGTAAAAACCAGGATGAACATAAATGCTAGATATGAATACCGATTATAGTCAAAGTTTGACTTTTATTTGAAAAAAAAAAGTCAAGAATTTCATATAAATTAAGTTGGCAGGCACACACAAAAGCTACCCTTCTTCCTGCCTAGAAACAAGCATCTGATGACTTTGTTCTACACTCCACCCCACCCCCACCACCTCATTTATCTCTTTTAGCATCGCAATAAAAGGTAATTCTTTGCTCAACAACCAAGATTTCTAGACACAGATCATTGTTGTGATAACGAGTGGTACATCTTGCATTAGAACATGTATATTTTTCTGGATTTGAAGATTCTGGGTCTGGAAAAAGAGAGAACTCAATAAAATCACCACCTACTCCTCTCAGAGGAACAATTTTCTTTGGGAGCATTCACTCGCTAAAATACAGAAAACAACAAGTGAACTTCTTCCATCCTCACAAGTCACATATACACTAGAAAGCTTTTACTTTTGTGACTTAGTTATTTCTTTCACTCTTTGTTTCTCCTGCTTTTCTTGTTGGTTTCCTGCCCTATTTTTCATTTCCATCTCTGGGTTTCTTGCATCTCTCTCTCTCTCTCTCTCTCTCTCTCTTGCAACAAAACCCCATGGTTTCTGGCAGATAACTTGGTGTTTGATCGATTCTATATCCCTTTGAACGAAAGAAACCAGATACATTCTTGTCGTAAGGTAATACATCTCATAAATCTTATGCTTTTTAGTTCTTGATTATGATCAAAATCTGATTCTTTCTGCTTGATTTGATTGGAGATGAGAACAATGTGTGAAAATCTCATCTGGGTATCTCTTCTTTTTGGGTTGTTTGGAATCTTTGATTTCAAGGAAAGCATTATTTAATTAGTTTGTGTGGATTTTGAATTGGGGTTTTCTTTGAGTTTGATTTGGTCTTGGGTTTTGTGGCTCTGATTTGAAGGAAATTTGTGGGTTTTGAGATTTGAGATAGGTCTGACTAGGGATGGAAATGTCATTTCACTTCACTTGTCTATCATTGATTCTTGATTCTTGAGATGAAATTGATCAAATAAGGAAGGTTGTTAGCATGAAACCCTCACTTTTTGTGTTTGATTTAGTAAAAAAATGGTTCTTTTTGTTTCAAGATCTCATGTGTGACTCTCTTCTTTATCTCCTAAACATGGGATTTTATTTTTCTTATTTAATTTATTTATATGTAATCCCTATTCTAGTAGTGGATTCAGCTGTCAAATTCCTAATCTTTAATTGGGTATTTTATTAAAAAATAAATAAATAAAGCTCTATGAACCTCATGTTGTCAAACCTCTAGTCTTCAGTCTGATTCAATTTTTTGCATCAGGATGTGTGATCTCTCTAATAACAAGTTGAAAACACAGATCAAGATTTGACCATTTTGACTTGTAAACAATCCAAGAACACTTCCTAATTACTTTTATGCATCTTTCTTGATCAACTTGTTTGCTGTTACACTACAGATGTTCCAAAAATCCCATCTTTTTCCACAAACTGGAAGCCAAATAATCATCCTTATTTGACCTTGTTTGACTTCAGAGGTCAAATGAGTTCATCTTGAAGATTAAATTTATCAGAGTTCCTTTGTTTATATAGAAAAACCTGAAAACCCCATTTTAAGATATTAAAATGGTATCACATAGAAAAAGAATCATCTAAAAGACTATAAAATTGATTGTAAATTTTGTATTTTAAACAAACCAAGTTTGACTTATGTTCCTTTTTCAGATTGGGAACCATTTCCTTTTTTTTTCTTTGAGGAAATTAGGCATTCGATGGAAGGAGGGGTAGATCCAAGAAACTGGGCAGATCTATTCCCTGATGCACTGGGGTTAATCTTTAGCAACCTATCTCTTCAAGAAACACTCACAATTGTCCCAAGAGTCTGCAAATCATGGAACCATGCAGTCTTAGGTCCTTACTGTTGGCAAAACATCAACATTCTTGACTGGAGCTATCGGACGAACCCTGATCACATTGACCATATGCTTCGGCTCCTGGTTACCAGAAGTGGTGGCGCCCTCCGTGAGATCACCGTCTCAGGCATTCTGAATGACCTCACTTTCTCATTTCTCGCAGATCAGTAAGACTTATGAATCCTCTTTTCATTTTAGTTTGAAATTTAGTCTCATGCTGATTTTTCTTGGTTTTTTTCGATTTGAATTCTATCTTTTCGCTGTTCTAGTGCAAGATCGCTACAAATCCTGCAGATCCCTAGATGTAACATTAGTGATTCGATTGTGGAACAAGTTTCAACTAAGCTTTCTGCTGTCACATTCATGGACTTAAGCTACTGCTGCAAGATTGGTGCCCGTGCCTTATCCGCTATTGGAAAATCCTGCAAATCACTGGTAAGGTTTCGGCGAAACATGCACCCAATAGACTTAAAAGAGCGGCGGCCACAGGCGGAGGAGGCGGTGGCCATTGCCGCCACCATGCCCCAGCTGAAACACCTAGAAATGGCGTATAACTGTATAGACACCAAGAGTGTGGTGGAGATCATCGAGAGCTGTAACAAGCTTGAGTTTTTGGACGTGAGAGGGTGTTGGGATGTGAAACTGGACCAAGATTGGCTCGAGAAGAGGGCTCTAACCGTTAAGGTGTTGGGCCCGCATGTAGTCGATCAGTTTGAGGGCCATAGTTGCTCGGATTATTCGGATTCAGATTCGTTCTACGATTATGAGAGCTTGGATGATGGATTGTGGGATGATGATGATGATGATGGAGAAGATAGAGTTGGAGGGAGGTTAGAACTTAGGTTTTATGAAGAGTTTGGTGAGAGCAATGGCAATGGTTGGCTTTGAGTTATTTTGGAAACTTCTTGTTTCTAAAGACTTGAAAAGCTATCAACTTTTCTTCAATGTGATCTATTATGAATGTCTGTTTGAAGTTTTGTTTGTCTACTCTTGGTTTCTAATGCGCATGCTATATTGACTTGTATCTTGTGCAATAAAAGTTGTATATTGTTTTGCTTTCGTTAGTTTTTCTTTTTTTGATAAGTGGGGTGTTCGGTCCAATTTATGTGCAATTTGAGTAATACCATGAACTCCTGAAGTTATCAGTCAGACAAACCTTCAGTGGCTTAAAGGGCTAGAACCGGTGATCTAAAGTAAATCCAGGACCTGACCAGTTGAGCTAATTATAAGTCATAAGGGTTTAACTTCTTTAAAAGTTTCTTATTACCGGTTTGTCACCGGTATAAGTTGTTTATCCAAACACTCAAAAGTGTTTATTATCGATACCACATCGAAATAAGTCAATAAGTTGTTTTTATAAGAAATTCCAAATACATCCGTATACAAACTGAGTGTTTTCGTTAATTACCGCACTAGCAAGTACGAAGACAAGATAGGTGATAGTGGTACCTAGTTTAGAAATCACATGATCACATATTCACATGTGATTCAATCCTTTGGATTTTTTAGCCATTTCGTTGTCTTTTTTTTGTTATTGGTGGTTGTCTATTCAAATAAAGAAGTGGGACACATATTGGTCTTTTTTATATTGCTTATAAAATATTAAACATAAAATCATATCAATCATTTTGTGTAATTTAAATAAAAAATTCACTCAAAGTTATTTTAATTTTTCAAAATTAAAATAAATTAATTAAAATAGTTATTTTTGGTTTCATTTTTTAATCATTTCTCTTACAAAATTATCGAAATGTCACTAGATCTGTAATTTGTCGAGGGATTAAATTGTAAAAAGAAGAAGTTTACCAGGTCCGTAATGCAGGGACCACATCTGTAAATTCGTCGCAAGCACCTATATCAATTTTACAGATTTGATCCTTGCAATTACGGACTTGCCACTTGCGGACTGAGTAACATTTTGATGGTTTTAGAAGAAAAATGGCTAAGAGGTGAAAATACAAGACGAAAATGACTATTTAAATTAATTTCCCTAAAATTAAGCTGAAATACAATTACACTGCAGACAGTTTGAAACAAAAACTAATGTAAAGATATATGTTAAAGTTTGACATAAGTTTCACCCACTTTTCCTTTAAATAAATGACAGAAAAAATGTTCAAAAAGATTCCTCCAATAATTTCTCTAACATGTCGTTAAGATCGAAACACTTTTCTCAGTATATTGAATTTGATTTGTTCATTCCTCTCTAAAATTGACGTCTTTCTCTCGCCTTTTGCCTTTAATTTTGTTGGATATAAAAAAAGAAGATTTTTTTCCGCTTTTTAAACCTATCTTTTTCTTTAAACGTATCAGTTAATGCCCTTAATCATGATTAATATCTTTATAAATCAGTATATTCTTTCACACAACTTTTTCCGTTCCTTTTGCTGCTCAATTCAAGATTTATCACACAACCACTCATACGCATGAAAAGTAGTACAAGTATATTATTTCATAACAAATATCTATTTAGAATAACGACTTGATTTTATACAATGTTATGATACACATCTAAGCAACAACTTTTTGCAAGTATTTCACAAAACTTTCCTGATAAAGTCGTTGTTACCCTTCATCGGTTCACACCCAAATAGGGATGTAATTCTTGTTATTCTGATGTATAATGCAGTAATCTATACTATATTATAAAACTTTTAAAAACAATTTTTTATGCATGAAGTACTATGTATTAATGCATATTTACTTAAAATTTAAGATTACAAGTAAATTATATGTAAGTACAACTTATTAAAGCTTCATTTTTGAATCTGTATAACTAACTGTAGATAAACATAAGTAAATACAGGATAAATTTCTCATCTTAAATATAAAAAATCAAAAATATAATTAGGATAATCATTGAATTCTAACAAAATCATTATCATTATAAAAAAATTATTGTTAAGCCAAAATTAAATTACTTCATTTTGACCTACATTAAAGGAATAATAAAAAATTGAGTTAAAGAAATTGTAAAAAAATAGTTAATTTGATATTAATATCGATATACTTTTTCAAATTTCTATGATATCTTCAAATTTATTTCTATTCAAAAATAAAAACATTATCTTTCTCAAAACCATATAAATCATATTATATCAACATAGACGAAAAATAAAACGAAACATTAAAATAAAGATGTATCTCGCGGCAGTGCAGAGTACCCTTCTAGTATTTATAAACATGTTGATGCATTCCTGACAAAGGTTGGGATGTGTTTAGTCTGATGAAAATGGTTTTGAGGGATTTGGGTTTCGTGGAAAGATTTAAAATCTTTGGTGCGTTTGATTTGTAGAATTTGTAATAGAATTGAATTCTTTTTATAAAAACAAATTATAAAAAAATTAGATTACTTTCTAATGAGTTGATTATTATAAAACAAATGTTTAACATATTTTAAAACATTATTACATACAAAATTCTACGAAATTCCATGAAATACCAACAACCTCCATGAGATTTTTACCATCCCTTTAAACCCGTTTGGTTTGTAGAATTAGAATGGATTTGGAATTAAATTTCATTCCAATCCAACGTTTGGTTTAAAAGGATTTGAAGTCCAATAAACATAAGGTTTTGAAAATGCCAAAGGAGTGGTTGGTATTTCATGGGATATCGTAGTATTTATAAAAAATAATGTTTCAAAATTTGTTAAAATCATTTATTTTATAATAATCAATTTGATAAAAAGGTAATTTAATTATTTTTATAAATAATTGAATTCAATTCCATTCCAAATCCTACAAACCAAACACAACAAAAATTCCAAATTTCTCGAAATCATTCTATCAAACGACACATCACCTTAGATTTGAAATCCAAACAATCATTCAAACCAAATATGGGATTAGAATGGAATTCAATTTCAATTCATATCCATTTAGGGATGGTGATTTTCCCCGACCCGGTTCACCCGACTCAAACGGCGATTCCCCTCTAAAACGGGTCCTGGGGCCGGGGATCCCCTGTAGACTCAAGCCGGGGACGGAGGATGTTACTCATACCGGGGCCGGGGATCCCCGGTAGAATCAAACTAAAGGAAACTATTTATGGGGTTTGACCGGAGATTGCTAGAGATTTGACCGGGGACGGGATGATAATCCCCGTACCTGCTGGGGACCGAGGACGGGGGATTTTACTACAAACTGGGGACGGGGATTACAAAACCGTCTCATCCCCGCCCCGTTGTCATGCCTATATCCATTCCCACAAACCAAACGGGACCTAATAATGTAGTATTAGATTGGATTTGGAGGGATTTGAAATTAATTTCATTTCAATCTCATGTTTGGTTTGAAGGACTTCCCGTATTTCAAATCCCAGGATTTCAAACATAGGAAGTTGAAATTGCATAGGGGTGGATGGGATTCGAATTTTGCAGGATTTGTATACGACAATGTTTTAAAATATGTTAAAAACATTTGTTTTCATAATTCATTAATAAAAAAAGGTAAATTTAAATATTTATATAATTATTTATAATTTGTTTTTACAAATTATTTATAAAGATTGGAATTCAATTTCATTTCAAATCTATCAAACCAAACAAACCTAAGATTTCAAATCCAATTCCCTCCAATTTCAAACATTTATATGAAATTTCAAATCTCTCAAAACATTCCAGTTTGGTTTGTAGGATTGGATTGAGAATTGAATTTTATTTCCAATCCCATGTTTGGTTTGAATGATTTCCTGGATTTGAAATCTCGGATCTCATTGAAATCTCATAAACATAAGATTTTGAAATCCCACAGGGGTGGTGAGTACCGTATTTGTATGTAATAACATTTTAAAATATGTTATAAACATTCGTTTTATAATAATCAATTAATAAAAAAGTAATTTATAATTATTTGTTAAAAGGTAATTATTTTTGTGATTATTTATAATTTGTTTTTATAATCATTTATAAAGAAAGAAATTCAATTTCGTTCAAAATCCTACAAACCAAACACACCAAAATTTCAAATACTTCTAAATCCAAATTCCTCCAATTCAAAATACTTCTACGAAGTCCAAATCCCTCAAAACCATTCTGTTAGAATCCTACATTTTGTTTGAATGAATATTATGATTTGAAATCCAAAGATCCCACAAACATGAGATATATAAATCTCATGGGTAGTTGGTATATTGCAGAATTTTATATGATGTGTTTGCAATAATGTTTAAAATATGTTAAAACATCTGTTATATAATAATCAATTATTGAATAAGTAATTTAATTAATTTTATAATTTTTTATAAATTAATTTATAAAGATTTGAAAATCAGTGTTATTCCAAATCCTATAAATTCAAGCACACCAAAGATTTCAAATCATTTCAATTGAATTTTTTTTTTGAAATTTTTTGTAATTGTTTATGGTAAAATAAATGTGAATATATGGGTTTTATAATGTATTTTTAAGATTACGAGAGAAAAAGAATATACTTATGCGGGGCAGAACCAGAGCATAAGATATGATGGAATATATTAGTTTTGTTTCTCCGGCATAAAGTAAAAAGTTTAGGGTCATGAAAGTTGTCATCGTATTTAATGTTGGTTGCCACCGTATATGTTTTGAATGACAAATTGCATGAAAAAGTAACATACTTTAACTTCATTCCTATTTTAGGTAACGTACTTTCAAAATTTCCCTTTTGGAACCTATCGTTTAAAGTTTTAAACATTTAAGTACTCAGGTAACAGGTTGAAGCATTAACCAGTTACTATGCTGATGTGACGGCTGATGTGGTACCCAGTTAATGCTTCAGCAAATAATACTGAGTCGGATACCACATCACTCGCCACATCAGCATGGTAACCGTTTACCCGGGTACTTAAATGTTTAAAATTTTACATCTTACGTACCCAAATTAAAGTTTTGAAAATATGTTACCCAAAATAAGAATCAAGTTAAAATACTTTACTTTTTCATACAATTTGCCATATTTTGAAACTACAATAACACATATATGTACATATGTACCTATGTGTGTGTATATATATACATACACATAAGAAATTATGCAAATCATATTTAAGCTCATATGTATAAAAAAACATGAAAAACACATAGAAA